AATAAACTGCAAATTGTGGAGAACTGACAAGGAATTCTCAGTGTTGTAAATCAAATCAGCTGAGCTGGACAAATCGTTGAGTAGGAGACTATTTTCTGATTCAACTTTTATGGCCTACAATCTACAACTCCATTGTAACACTTCAAAGCTATTCCATCCACAGAATCGGAACGTCAGTGGGAGAGGTTAAAGGGTGCTGGCCAAAGGGGTGGAATTCAGCCTGGAGTGATTGTATGCTAAACTGTCTGTCCATCATTTAGGCCAGCTTACTGAGGGCAGACCCCGCAGTGCTCTACGCAGGGACCTAGTGCCCCGAACATATTGTTTTGGCGTGTCAGGATTCACGTGTGCTATGCTTGTTGGGGACACCAGGGAACCAAGTCGGGATGGCGGGACAGGATACGACAATTGAGACGATTTGGAGGCCTTCATTGTTAGTTCTCCATAAGTTCCATTTTTATTATTTTTTCATATATATATATTTTTTTTAATTAAAACCTTGTGTTTGATGACAGCCGTCTAAAATGCTATTACTGTACCATAACATTGAACAGTGGATGACTGTGTGTGTTTTTTTGTTACTGGCAAGACTTCTGACTGGTGTGACCTTGCTACACAGATATCTTCTAACTTGGTAGCATTTTCATTTATTTTGTGACAATTTAACAGTCAGAAAAACAAAGCATGATCCACGTTCTTTTTATCCAGGTTTATCTCAACATCAGAACCCCGCTGTGCCCTTTTCCATGTACCTACATTATTAGCACAGCTTAGATATAAAGGTGACATTTTCTAATAATATGCAACTCAGGGCTGTTCCAATGTTAAAGGACCACTATAGGCACCCAGACCACTTCAGTTTAATGAAGTGGTCTGGGTGCCAGGTCCAGCTAGGGTTAACCCTTTTTTTTTAATAAACATAGCAGTTTCAGAGAAACTGCTATGTTTACCTATGGGTTAATCCAGCCTCTAGTGGCTGTCTCATTGACAGCCGCTAGAGGGCTTCCGCGCTTCTCACTGTGAAAATCACAGTGAGAAGACGCCAGCATCCATAGGAAAGCATTGTGAATGCTTTCCTATGGACTGGCCGAATGTGGGCGCAGCTCTTGCTGCTCATGCACATTCAGCCGAAGAGGAGGAGAGGAGGAGGAGGAAAGCTCCCCGCCCGGCGCTGGAGAAAGAGGTAAGTTTAACCCCTTCCTCCCCCCCAGAGCCCGGCGGGAGGGGAACCCTGAGGGTGGGGGCACCCTCAGGGCACTATAGTGCCAGGAAAACGAGTATGTTTTCCTGGCACTATAGTGGTCCTTTAATGGCAAGTCCTGCAGTCATAGCAAACCATGTACATTATAAGACACTACTAAAATTAGAAAAGTGGAGATAAACATTTGGTGAACTTCGAATTGTAGTCAACTTGTATCTGAGTGGCAAAACTAGGGCTAAAATAGCCCAGATGGCACTATAGCTAAGATGGAGAATTTTTCTTAGTGTGTCCCTTTCACTCACGGTTTACCAGTTAGGAATGAAAAATAAAGGATTACTATTTGGATTTCTTGCAAAATTAAAAAGTAAATAAAATAAAAACGTTTACAAAAAAATAAAGTGTTGTATGTTCTGGAGGCACGGAACTAAAGTATGCTTTACCTCCTTATTTTACTCTCCATTCTATTTTACTAAGATGTAGTGCTACACATTCTGCCTACTGGTCATTACAATCATTTACAAGCTCTACAGTACCAATGGTAGATCTCCATCACTTTAACGCCCTCCTTCTCAGAATTCAGAGTGTTAGTTAATGAATACTATGCGGTATATTTCATTTCTTAATGTAACAATACTTATCGTTTAAAAATGTCAAGGGTGTTTCTTCTTAAACAGTAGAGACCCCCATGGAGATTGCTTTGTTCCTCAACTGTAATATATGAGTCAGGGGGGAGTGCTTTTATGACATAGTACCATATTAAACCCCATGTAGATTGCAGGCTTTGAGAAATTTCCGCGGCTGACGACGGCACCATAGGGGTAGTTTAGAACCGTCATAATAGATTTTATGAACATTTACCAAGAGACAATGTAATGGGGTGATTTATCAAGAAGCTTAATGCTATGTTTAAAGTGAACCTGTCACCTTAACTGTATTTTGATGAAATGCGTGTAGCATAAATAAAACATTTTTTGACTCATTGTACGAGCAAAAATCCTAGCATACCTATAATAATCGAAAGAGTTTAAAATATGATAAATCCTTATCCTTGGCTCATTATCATATTATGGACCAGTAATATTTTACGCCGTCATTACAATCTGACCTTAAATGGACCTGTGCTAGGATGGAATGTGCTGCTTATTTAAAAAGTGCAGTTCTAGAAAGCCATTCTTTTTAAAGGTTTAGTGTCACCTCTCAGAACATTTTAATATTATGTGTTCTTATTCTCTATTTTTACTATTTTTCACTGTTTGTGAAATCTGAAAAATGCAATTTAAATATAGAAATTCACCCTGCTGTATTTAGCTCTATCCTGGCTCTCTGTCCGTTACTGATATAAATTAGGTCCTTTGCTCCTGTCCGTCAGCATAGTAAGAGGAGGGGAAACGGAAAAAAATATTTATTCTTCTCCTTTAAAGCAATGGCTGTTCCCAGACTGACCTGGATTTTGACATTAATTGCCAAGTCTTTAATATAAATTTAGGGAAAACAATGTGTCACGTAAAAAATGTCATCACGATATGTGATGTAAGTTCTAGAGAAGTGATGATTCCCCTTTAAATGACATTTCATTTTGTTGTAGAATATTTAAATCATTGTTTGATATAATGGAATTGGTTCTTAAGGGATTAAAGTGGCCAATCTATCCTCCCCTAAAGAAGAGAGGCATTCGTTGGGAATGCAATGGAATACATAGTATGTTAGATCGAAATTTCAATACAATAGGGCAGTTTGGGTTATTTCATTTCTAATTCTTTATGAAGCGGCAGCAAAGTCTGTAACACTGCACTTGGTAAGTATAAGTTTCATCTAATGTACCACGGTAAAAGCTCTGTTATACCCCCAAAAAACAGTAGTGTTGCTACAACTAAACTAAAAAGTATTTTCCAAATAAACGTGTATTTCTGACCCTGTAGTATTAAAAATACATTTTAGGTTTCTGGCCCTCCATTGCCCCCTTACAAAAGGGATAAAAAGTACTTTTATTCCAGCGCCAGGTGGCACTGGTTCCGCCCCCGCTCTGCGTCCTTGGCTGAGATCATCAGAATTGACGATCTCAGCCAATCCAATGCTTTCCCATGGGAAAGCATTGGGAGGCTATTGCGCAAGCGTGGCAAAATGTGGCACAGTGCTGCAATCACCATCTACTTATAGAGATGAATTGAATCAATGCATCTCTATGGGGAGTGTTCAGTGCCTCCATGCGCAGCACTGACCCAGGAAGCACCTCTAGTGGCCATCAAGTGACTACAACTGGAGGTGTTCCTATGCAGTAATGTAAACACTGCCTGTTTGAAGAAATAAACAGTTTTTCCATTAATATGCCTGAAGGTACAGGCAGTAGACACAGATCACCTACATCAAACTGTAGTTGTTCTGGTGACTATAGTGTCTCTTTAAGAGAAAGACACTTTGTGTGTATGATCATGATGATCTTGTTTCCAGATATCACGCAGCAAATTATTTCCATGTATTGTGTTAATGAGATCGTTGTGGGTGAATTTGTCTATATGGTGCTTGAAAGTGTGTTTGAGTAATGAATCGTTATCAAGTATTTATTGAACCTATTACTATTTGTATTTGGTAATGGATTTATATTATTATACCTGGGGACTTATATATTCCTTACATCAATGTTTTGAATTCCTGGGTTATATATATTTAAATCATTGTTTGATATAACGGAATTATTTCATCATTGGTTCTTAAGGAATTAAAGTGGCCAATCTATCCTCCCCTAAAGAAGAGAGGCATTCGTTGGGAATGCAATGGAATACGTAGTATGTTAGATCGAAATTTCAATACAATAGGGCAGTTTGGATTATTGATTGGCCAGGGCCTGCCTCCTGGGCTGAGATCATCAGAATTGACAATCTCCATTCTGATGATGTCAGCCAAGGAGGATAGTTGGGAGCCAAGTCAGCCCCAGAAGACCTTTGATGCTCTGGAAATAAGGTGCGTTTTTACTATATTTAAGGGTGGCGAGGGGAATTAAATAGTGTTTTTAGCGCTATAGGGTCAAGAATACACTTTTGTGTTCCTGACCCTATAGGTTTCCTTTAAATAATATTGCATATAAAGAGGCATAATTCATTCTTTTAATAGTAAGAACACTTTTGGGTGCACTCTAAGTAGTCAGTACAGCTCATTGTAGTGGCTATGGTGCTATGAGTCTCTAGGCAGCATTTGGGACCGATTTGGAAAAAACAAACAAAAAAACCCCCCCCAAAAAACCCAAGGCTCTTCTCAGTACACATAGTCTACCCCACCAAGTTTACTCGTAATTTGGAAACTACACTTCAAAACTGTTGAACAGGGAAAGGGGGTAGCGCCCATACATGCGTAGCACTATAACAACAGCAATTACCTGGGGTGGTTGGGTACAGTCCTAAGAGTGCTTCAATCTGGATCTTTCTAAAAATGCACTTTTGTGATTATCAAACAATTCTCTGTGTTTATTTCTAAAAACTGTGCACTTTACCTAGGCCAAACTAAACCTACTGCTTAAAGGAATGCTATAGTCACCAGAACAACTACAGCCTTATTGAATTTGTTCTGGTGAGTAGAATCATTACCTTCAGGCTTTTTGCTGTAAACACTGTCTTTTCAGAGAAAATGCAGTGTTTACATTACAGCCTAGTGATAACTTCACTGGCCACTCCTCAGATTGCTGTTAGAGATTAGTGATGTCCCGAATGGTTCGCCGAACGGTTCGCCACGGACAGCGAACATATGCGCTGTTCGGTCCGCCCCTATGTCATCATTGAGTAAACTTTGACCCTGTACCTCACAGTCAGCAGACACATTCCAGCCAATCAGCAGCAGACTCTCCCTCCCAGACCCTCCCACCTCCTGGACAGCATCCATTTTACATTCATTGTGAAGCTGCATTCTTAGTGAGCTGTCCAGGAGGTGGGAGGGTCTGGGAGGGAGGGTCTGCTGCTGATTGGCTGGAATGTGTCTGCAGACTGTGAGGTACAGGGTCAAAGTTTACTCAATGATGACGAATAGGGGGCGGACCGAACAGCGCATATGTTCGCCGTCTGTGGCGAACCGTTCGGCGAACCGTTCGGGACATCACTATTAGAGATCCTTCCTGGGTCATGGCTGCCTAAAATGCATTCAAACATTCAGTATCTCCTCCCTCTGCATGCAGACACTGAATTTTCCTCATAGAGATTCATTGATTCAATTCATCTCTATGAGGAGATGCTGATTGGCCAGGGCTGTGTTTGAATCATGCTGGCTCTGCCCCTGATCTGCCCCCTTGTCAGTCTCAGCCAATCCTATGGAGCAGCATTGTGATTGGATCAGGCTACTACTTCTGATGATGTCAGCAGACTGCTTGTTTTTCTGAGACAAACAGCATGCATATTAACAGCTTCAGGCTTGAATACAGTAAGATTTTCTATATTTATGGAGGCATGAGGGGCCCAGGGGGGCTAGATGGTGGTTTTAACACTATAGGGTCAGGAATACATGTTTGTGTTCCTGACCCTATAGTGATCCTTTAAAGCCACAGGTATTGTGTTTGTCCACCAAGGGCCCCAGTGTGCTGTGTCTGTGATCTGTCGTGTCAGAATATCAGAAGTTTTTCTGTTTATTTTGGAGTTGTGCGCTCTGTCTGCCTGCACTGTAACAAGGATAATCAGAGAGATTCAGAAGTGCTGAGTGCAGGGTTACAGTGTCAGACTGTGCTGTAAACATAATAAGGTTATAATCTGATTACAGATACTTATGTGACAGCCCCGTTACTTCATTTTACCTTTACTGGTAAGTGAACTATGGAAGGTCACACAGCATTTCAAAACGTGTACGTCAAGGAAAACAAACTGTGAATGCAAGTAATAGATTTGGATTTTCTATCACATTAAAGGAACACTATTTATTATTTAAAGTTAAGGTTTGCACGTGTTGCAGCTGATTTGTGCATTGTTTTTACTTTATATTCTGGTTTAACCTTACTCCATGGGGGTAGCTGTCTTTAAATTCTCTTTTTATTTAGAAGCCAAGCTCATTGCAGCTTATACCAAGGCCCATGCAGGTTACCAAGATCCAGCGCTCATACCCAAATCCCGATTTCGTGACCAAGTGATGGGCTTCTCAAAAATGTGCTCTATTCCTGCATGATTTACACAATAATATACATACAGACATAACAAATGCAATCTGTATTTTTAATAGTAATAAAAAAAAATATATAAAAAAATGAGGACAGTCTTCTTTTGGTAATAACTCCGGTAATAACTTCACTTCTCTGGAAAATACACCATGCAATAAAACATTGAAAATCACCTGTAACTTGTGTTAACCTTTTTAATGAGGTACTCTGTATTCTTTTAAATTTATAGTAAAGATTTAGCAAATGAGAACGTAACCCAGTGCATTCCAGTAAAAGCTGGGGGGAAACATTGCACATGAACAGCAGAAAGAGAAATATTGTTTAATTTCTCTAAGGTGGAGGCGCCCAGTTGCAGGGTTAAGAGAGGTGTGGATTTCTGCAATTAATTTTTTATTTCGCACCTCACAAATACATATCTGTTAAATATAGGGGTATAAGTAAATATAATATTTAAAAATCCTGGAAAGTGACACTTCCGCTTAAAACATGAATTGCTTATTTAAACGTGATGCGGTTTGGAATAGGACATTTTTGAGAATATGCAAGATTTTAGAGACAGTGTGTGCTATTTACTTATAACGAGGCAGGTTCCGTAGTGCCACTCTTATATAGAATTATAGAATTGCTCTTAATTACAATTGTCTGCTGGTTATTCATACTATAGTACAGTCTGTCTACATTAATCTGGGCAAAATGCCAACTGCTATTACGCTACTAACATTCCAGATTTTTACCAAACTCATTGATGTGTCTTGCATAATGTGGCTTCCTATTGAAGGAGCAGAACTGTCCTGTAGAAAGGCTTAACCCATTGTCTGCTTTATTTTCTCTGCTTTTGAAGAGCATGTGTACCTTGACTTGGGTTGCGACATTGGCCATTTAACAATGGATGCACTATGGTCAACATATGACAAACCCTTGCTTGTAATGCAAATAATGTTTGTCACTTTTAAAACTATTCACAATTCTGCATTAGAGATTAGCAACAAGAGCCTAATTAACAGCTCCAATAAGTCAATTTTAAGGTTCAATCTAATATGATCTATTGAATTGGCAGAGCTTGGTAGGATACCACACATAGCAATCAGAATGTTTTCTGTAGCTAGCATTCTTGCACGGGAGAAGGAAGCTTTGCAGCTATCCTTCTTACACCAAGGAATGAGTAATCTCTGTAGTTAACCATCTTACACCAAGGGACGAGGAAGCTCTGTGACTATCCTTCTTTTAACAGGGAGTGAGGATGCTCTGTAGCTTCCCTTCTTACACCAAGGAATGAGTAAGCTCTATAGCTAGCTATCTTACATGAAGGGACGAGGAAGCTCTATAGCTTGCCTTCTTACACCAAGGGACGAGGAAGCTCTATAGCTAGTCTAATTACACCAAGGGACGAGGAAGCTCTATAGCGAGCCTTTGTAAAACAAAGAAGCTGGGATCTCTGTAGTAATTCTTCTTACCCAAAGGATGCCGTGGGTTTTCTGTACTCACCTTTCCTGCACAGATATTTATATGTAGCTATCCTCCCTACTGTAAGGGAGTCAGCTTCCATGCATAGAAGAAGAAGGAAGCCCTGTAGCTAGTCTTCTTACACCAGTAATGCAGCAAGCTCAGACACCCTCCCTGCACAATAAATATTGTCCTCTGAAGCTTCACTCAATACTCTCAGGAAGTAGGAAGCTCTCTGAAGACAATTTCCCATCATAGAGACAAATACAAAACTCTTTGTTAGCCAGTCTCTTCCTGGAGGAAGTAGGAAGCGCTCTGTAGTTAGTTAGCCTTCATGCACCAAGGAGGCAGGAAGCATTATGTCCAACTAAAACAAGTATATTTTATATATTAATATGTATATACAATATATCATAAAAAAAAAATATATATATATATATGCACACACACACACATATTGTAGTAGAATGAGACATGTAAAGCCTTTTTGATAATTAAAACGATTTGACCAAAAAACTACCTTATGTGCAACTTTTACGGTCCTTTAAATATGCCTGATTCATGATCTGAAATATATATTTCACCATGCTTCAAGAATAGTGATTCATTAAATGCATTGTCCCTAGTGTTCATCAAGAGAAATGTTTGTCTGCTATTAAATTTAGCAAACACAAACTTAAATTCTGTTAGCCCAATAAAAAAAGGTATTTTACATGTGCATCACTGGACTAATACGACTACAATCTCAACTTTATATATAAATATATCCGTACAATGGATCTTAATGTGTCATTTTTAATGCTGTTAAATGTTGAGATTAACATTTTTCCTTTTTGTTTCTTTTGTCAGTTTGGTCTATGGAAGCTCAAGAGGTTCCCACCCAGAGACCGATATATTGCACAGACAGGCATATGCAACACCGCACCCCCTGCAGGGATATGCCACCAATCACCACCCCGCAGGTAAGACTCTCATGCGTTTTCCATACTGGTTAAACTTTCTTTATTTTTTAAATTCTTACTATTCATGATACACCTACAAAATAGATTTTTGTATACATCATGCAAGTTTTTATTTTGCATGTGTGCAAGAATGCTGAAATGTGTTATTTTGGCTAGAACATGTGAATGGGCTAGATGTTAACTGGACCCATGTCCTGTATTCCTTATATGCTGAAGTGGCCCATGTACTTAGGGCCACCTAAAGAGGCATGTGTCCTCAGGGACCTGGTCGTAGGCTGTGGCCCTTTTTACAGCGCGGCCGGGCCCCTTTCATGTCGGCTGCCTAGGAGGAAGTGAGAGCTAGTCACTTCCTCCCAGCTAACAGACTGAGCCATGCGGGTGGAGAAGTCAAGGCAGAGAGGAGGGCGTGCGGTCCGGGTGAACCTCTGACTCACAGCCTCAGCCAGCAGACTAGACCCCATTGTAGCCGTCCACCTGCACGCAAAAAGTAGAAAAAAGGAGGGTGGCTAAAAATGTGTACATTTCGTATGTGTGTCTATCTGTGTCCACATATCTATCTGTATGACTGTGTGTCTGTCAGTGTGTGTGTGTGTCGATCAGTGTGTCTGTGTATTTATCTGTATGTCTGTGTATATATCTGTGTGTCTGTCTGTTTATGTATCTGTTTGCATGTATGTCATTGTGTCTGTGTATCTATTTGTGTTCTGTATGCTTATCTTATGTATGTGTATCTATCTGTGTGTCTATATATATGTGTATCTTTTGTCTGTGTATCTTTCTGTGAGTCAGTGTTTTTTTTGTCTGTGTATCTGTTTATCTGCATGTGTTAAAGTGTGTGCAACTGTGTGTATGTATTTGTGTTAGAGTATGTGTCAGTGTGTGCACTTGTGTGTCTGTGTATCTGCATGTCTGTACCTGTGTATCTGTATGTGTGTCAGTGTTTGTATCTGCATGCGTGTCTGTGTATGTATATCTGTATATCCTGATTTGTGTCAGTGCGTATCTGTATCTGTATGTGTGTGTCATTGTATATGTATATATGCTTACATCTCAGCATTGAAACTCCAACCTTACACACAAGTACACTCAAACGTCAATACTACATACAGACACACACCTACAATTAAAAGAAAACACTAAACATCGGTAACCCACTGGTTTCAAATGGTAACGGTACATAAAAACACACAACGCTACACACTAATACACCCCTACATTCACACACATTCACTTTACAAAAACATGCATGAATTCCAACACACAAACACTGCTCAGTGCTAAATACAAACCTGCAAGGATGGGCAAATGTTAGATCCCCAGCTGGCAAAGCATTGTGGAAGTTGTACAACAGATGGGGATCTAACTTTTGGCCAGCCATATTATGTGGTGGGGGGTGGGGGGTGGGTGAGGGTGGAAATGCTTTCCTATGGACACTTT